TATATATATATGTTTGACGCCTGAAATGTGTCAAAAGGTCGCAAAGTTCAAGGGGGCCGAATACTTTCGCAAGGCACTGTATATATATATATATATATATATATTTTTTTTTCTATTGCATTTTTTGTTTGTCACACTTGCTCACAGTTTCAGAATGAAGACTTTGATTGCCTCTTAATGTGGTTGCATGAAGTTAATGTTAGTACCTGTGTGGCAAAGCTGAGGATTCAAGATAGAGTACTGTATATCTGGCTTTCCAGAGCAGCTCCAGGGAGCAATATACTGATGGGCGGTGTGAGAGATGAGATCCCAATCAATAGTCTAGTAACATTTATTGATAAACCTAAATATAGATGTGTATTTTTTCCTTTGTTGACCCAGTCATCATCCATTCAGCTTTCCTGGCAACATGACATGAAAGACTAACAGAGACAGGGTGATTCCTGTCCTCACCTAACACTGTCACGTCACAGCTTCCTTGGAAATTCAATTGATCATTGTGGCCCAGGCTGATTTTCTCCTCTAAGTTCTCTCAGACGTTATCAACAGTATTACGGACTTAAACTTGGGTCACTGATCTTATGAAGTATTGACCAAAAGCTAGCTGTAATAAGAAAATTAATAGACTGCTGCAAAACATTTCATTGTCTTCCAGAAATACAACAAACCCACATACATGAAGTCAAGTGCTGACTGAATGACAAACTTCCTGTACACATGTGGTCTATCTGTTAGTGGGATAAACCTCTGCCAGGGAGCCATTCTCTCTGCCACGCCTCTCCCATGGTTAATGATGAGGTCCAGAAGCTGGAACTACTTATTCTGTGGCCTGTGGATGAGAGTTGTAGCAGAGGACAAGCAGTTCAGGGATTTCAGGAAAATCTATTTTAAATTGATGAATGCATTTGGAAATTTGACACAAAAAAAACCCCAATAAAAATCTTTATGATCCTTGGGTGCAAAACTAGTTAAGTATTTAGGTGAGGCCTACAGGACGTGTAGAGGTGCAGGTGGAAGTAGATACAACCAGTTCAAGACTTATCAGGTACAATGTGTCCTGAACTTGCAGAGAGATTACAACAGTGTCAGGTAAGACTAATCAAGGTTCGAAAGGTGCGTTCTGCTTATCTATGAATCAGAAGTGTTCCTGGAGATGTGAAGGCTGCACTTCACTGGGCCTGCT